ACCCTTACTCAGGAAGACTCACCTCTAAATGAGTTGGCTCAACAGAATGACCTTTGTCCTAAAGAATGTATCTCAGAAGGAGGAATGGAAATTCCTCAGTTCACAGCAGAAAGAAATGAAAGCACACGTTCGATCTCACCTCTGAGAAATGTGGAAGGCCTTGAAATAAGAAATGATAACTCCAGTAACGCTTTAAGCACATACTGCACATTCTCAGAAATAAACAATAAGAAAGAAATAATTGAGCAACAGCCACGAGAAGAACAAGCCTTGTCTCCAGGATCCCAAGAAAAAGAGGTTCAGATCCCTGAATTATGCCAGGCATTTGTTGAGGATGTAAAGGACATCTTAAAAAGTAGGTTGAAAGAAGGTCATGTGAATTCTCAAGAAGCTGGAGAACCTTCAGCTTGTGCAGATACTAAAATGTTAATTCAAAGCTTGCTTAAAAGGGTTAGCCCATCACAGTTGGTAAATGATGCAACTAGTGTGCCCAGCGACGACTCTAAGATCAGTGACTGTACTGGAATGTCCCTCGTGAATAACTCACCAGAACTAAGAGCAGAGAGCAGAGATGATCCATTCCTTATTGCAAATCTTCAGTCTGAGCTTCTCCTTGATATACTTAAGCAAAATCAGCACAGCCAAAAGATGACAGGAGCATTTGAATTGATAAAAGAATTAATGCAGATGGAATATGATTTAGAGAAAAGAGGTATGACATCTAAAGTAGTTCCATTGCAACTTGAAAATATTTTCCATAAGCTGCTTGCTGAAGGCTGCTCAGAAAAATCAGAGCAGGTTGGAAACTTGAATCAAAAATCATCTACTACTTTTGAGATGGTGTATGAAAAGCCACAGATTCTTGATGAGAATAAAAGCAAAGAAGGAAACCACAGTTCCCTTAATTTACAAGATATAAAAGAAATTGGACCAGAAAATTCTACTGTATGTGCATCAGCCTTGCCAAGAGATGAGAAGCTAGAGGAACAATGCAGTGATTTCCCAGACCATCTGGAATGTATTTCAGGGTCAAAAGAGATGACTTCTGGAGATAGCTCAATGGAACAAGTAAGTTGACTTTACATTTCATATGGAAATAACTGCATGAAACATTTGGAAATCATCCCATGCATTTTATTTGATCTAAAAACCTGCATGGCTATTGCAGGCTATTGAATTAAATGTCCATATTTGTGTTTAGTTATCCAATGAGCTACAGCAGTGTATACAGCACACATCAAAAATGCACGAGTATTTGGCTTTGCTTCAAGATATGAAGCCTCCCTTAGACAACCAAAAGTCTCTGGATAACAGTCTAGAAGCTTTGAAGAACCAGCTTAAGCAGTTAGAGGTAAGAATTATCTGCTGCCTGTAATGGGTGGGAGTCAGCTGATGTTAGTTTGGGAAAATAAGCAGAGCACTTTACATTTATGTTTTGGATATTAGTTGTATTTGTCACTAAATAACTCTGGGATCTATCTATCTATCTATCTATCTATCTATCTATCTATCTAAACATCTCTATCATCATTTTTTTTGTAGACATTTGAATTGGGATTGGCTCCAATTGCTGTTATTTTAAGAAAGGACATGAAGTTGGCAGAAGAATTTTTAAAGTCTCTTCCCAGTGACTTCCCCAGAAACCATCGTGAGGAATTGAGTGTCAGCCACCAAAGCTTACAGAATGCCTTCTCTTCCCTCACTGATGTATCTTCAGAAAGAATGAAACACCTTGTTCTGGCGATTGACAGTGAAATGGTAGGCATCAATACGTTTCACACTGAGATTGAAGTTTTGAAGAAAAAGTGATTATTTAAGAATCTAATCATAAGACATAAGTATTTTATTTTTGATGTGCTAAGCTCTTAAAACAGAATCACCATTTGTAGGAATTTGAATTTTAGAAACAGTAATGAATGCACAATTTTGTTTTCTAGTCTAAACTAGCTGTTTCCCATGGAGAATTTCTACACAAACTGAAGTCATTCTCACACTGGATATCAGAGAAGAACAAATTGGTAAAGGACATGGAGCCAGTGAATGTTCAAGATACTGAGCATGTAAAGAAAAGTTTGGAGTTTCTCAAGGCAGGTATCAAAATAACTAAGACAAAGCACATTTAAAAACCTATGGGTTTAATGTAACAGATATTTAGAAAAAATAAGACTTTTCTGAAGCTATGAAGGTTTATTTTTTTCTTTGTGTCTATAAGATGTTTGTTCATAGTTGACACAACTATAAAATAATGTCAACTTTATGGATGCCATTCTGATGCTATCCCAACTGCCTTATGAACGCTTATCAATATGTTGAGATTTGTATTTATGTTTTTATTTATATATATTATTCAGATCACTAATAGCATACATTAACCATATAAACATATCAGAATATAAGTAGTTTTTAAAAAATCTATTTTATTTATTTTTTTATAGAGAGGAAGGGAGAGGGATAGAGATTTAAAAACATTGATGAGAGAGAAACATTGATCAGCTGCCTCCTGCACACTCCCTACTGGGTATATGCCCGCAACCAAGGTACATGCCCTTTGACCAGAATTAAACCTGAGACTCTTCAGTCCGCAGGCCGATGTTTTATCCACTGAGCCAACCAGTTAGGGCAATAGTTTTTATGCATTAGTGCTTAGTCCTTTTTGTCCTGCCTCCCTGCACCTTCAAGTTCTTAATTTGAACAACATGTCTCATGAAAGTAGGCCCTTGACTTGGAAGTCAGGAAACTGAAATGCTGGCCCACTTAATTTATGTTTCAAATTCCCCATAGTCTCGTTTATGTGTGGCCACAGTTGCATGGGTACTATAAATATTAGCAAGTAATATTTTAATGTTGATATTTCCCTTCAGCGTGTCAAATGTATATCAGTTGGAACTTTACCTTTGGTCAGAGTTACATTTGAAGTATGCTATGGCAAGCAAGGTTAAAATATTCTTAGAGGGATTTTCATTTTATATAATACTAGAGGCCCAGTGCACGAGATTCGTGTACTGGGGCTAAGAGGGAGTCCCTCAGCCTGGCCTTCACCCTCTTATAGTCTGGGAGGCCTTGGGAGATGTCCGACTGATAGCTTAGGCCAGCCAGCTCGGCCTAAGCCCTCAGTCAGACATCCCTAGCACTGCCACGGAAGCAGGTGAGGCTCCTGCCACAACTGCTGCACTCACCAGCTGTGAGCCCAGCTTCTGGGCTTCCTGCTGAGCAGTGCTCCCCCTGTGGAGTGCACTGACCACCAGGGAGCAGCTCCTGCATTGAGCATCTGACCCCTGGTGGTCAGTGTGCATCATAGCAACCAATCATTCCACCTCCTTGGTCAATTTGCATATTACCCTTTTATTATATAGGATTAATTACCACACTATTTAAATAATTTTATCATTGCCATTTTTACTAGGTGATGAATAGATTTTTTACTAAATGAAAAACATCAATAAAACCTGATATAAAAAGCATATTTTAGAAATAAATATCATTGTGAATATAAGCTGTATATTACGGCTTACCTCCCCGATGGTAACTTGTACTGCTTTGTTCACAGAACGTGTTAAAGGAGCTTGGACACACCAGGATGCAGCTGGACACTACTGCCTTTGATGTGCAATTCTTCATTTCTGAATATGCTCAAGATCTGTCTCCCAGCCAGAGCAAACAGCTGCTGAGGCTCTTAAATACAACTCAGAGGTGTTTTCTTGATGTGCAGGAATCAGTAACTACACAGGTGGAACATTTAGAGGCTCAGTTACAGCTAGAACAAGATCTTGATGATCAGAAGGTTTGCCTTTCTTTGTGGATTCTGTGTTTTTAGTTCTTCAGTGTGAAGCCTGTAATGTCGATACCCAGGAATTATGGTGTGATAAGATTTTTCTGGAAAGGCAATTATTGGACAGGGCATAATGTAGCGATTCTACCATATAGAATAATACTGCTTTCCATAATAATGTTCTAATTAATTGTTATAATTCTCATGATTCCCTAAAACTACTGCTTTCCGGGAAGTCTTCACTTTTTTCCTACAAGTAGGATATACAGATGCACTCAGAAATATCAAGGGGTAGATTGATGAACATAGGAATGAAGAAGGGTAAGAATATCTTTGGCCCCTAGGAGGCAGTGAAGCACAGGAGTTCAGAGCAGAGCTCTGGAGCCAAACTGCCTCAGTTTACATCCCAGCAGCACCACTCACTCATTGTGGAGCTAGGGTTAGTCATGTGTCCACAGGTTTCTCACTAGTAAATTGAAAATAGTAACAGTGCTGGCCTGGTTGTATTGTGAACATTGATAAAATAATGAATATAAAACAATCAGCACCTTGCCCGGCATGTGGTAGGCTCCTAGTAAACATGATATATGGCTATAAGATGAATAAAATAAACGTGTGTGTGTGTGTGTGTGTGTATAATCAGAAAGTGCAAGATACAAGTAATTGACTTATGAAATAAATCTCTTATTTAATGAATTATATTAGAATGCTGCATCCAATAGCAATCAATAAGGAACAAAGAGATGGGAAAGGAATTAGACAAAGCAAATAAGCTACTGCATGCGATGTTCTTTTTATTATTTCTCGAAGCACCAGGCTTTGTCTCTAGCATGACAATCTATATGCACATGTCAAATATATTAACAGACACATCACGACTAACTTCTGTTTTGATATCCTTTTACAGAATTAATTGTGTGTCGCAGGTTTCAAGAGCTTAAGAAAATGGAATGCTTCTTCCTGTTGGTCAGAAGTTCCATCTCTTACACACGTGCATGGCCAGTATTCTGCTGAGCAGTTTCATCCAATCATGCTCTCTCTCCTTGTATTTGGGATGAGCTCTTACTGTCTGTGTCACCTTGCTCAGTTTGTACCCCACTGCTACTATGTTTACAGCATACTCAGAAAGCTTCTTTTAGAGGAAACTTGCAAAATGTATTCCATTGAGGAGCTAGCACAATCGTGAGTGTGTGGTCACCCCTGAAGATGCTCTGGTTTTGTTCCCCTGTAGATCGTGGCAGAGCGCCAGCAGGAGTACAGAGAGAAACTCCAAGGGATATGTGATCTCCTTACTCAGACTGAAAACCGCCTGATTGGGCACCAGGAAGCCTTCGTGATTGGCGACGGCACGGTTGAGTTAAAGAAATACCAGTCCAAGCAAGAGGTAGGATTTGGTTTTGCCTCAGTAGTTCTGTGTTGATGTGGAATTCAATTACTATTTGGAAAGTAGTTAGGATTTTTGGGAAAAAAACACACACAAAAAACCACCACAATCATTTTAGCTTTTCTGAGACAAACCATACCTAGATGCCCCCAGGCCTCCTGAGCTATAAACTTTATACTGAGAGTCACATTTCCAAATTCAAGCAAGCCAGATAATTTTCTTGACTGATTTTTTTGGTGAAATGCTGAGCAGAGGAGATAATAAAGGAGTTTTGGTAGTGGAAATACCTTGTCTGATGAATTAAAACTCGGATTCATTTAAGGCCAACCACTCACTTTCAGAATTAGGCGAAATAGCCATCAGTTAGGGTTTTTTCACTTGCTTAGCTCTTTCTTAACCCTTTCACCTTTCTCTGCAATGTGTCCCTTTTCATTGAAGAGACAAGCAATAATGATAAAGATATCTTTATTTTGATGTCAGAAGAAATAACATTCTCATTGTAACTAGCTAGCTCTTGGTCTAAATCCCAGATACTACACCTTTAAAATTTAACCTTTTGAGCCTCAGTTTCTTCATTGGTCATATAGTTTCATTGCCATGTTATGGTAAAAGTTAAGTGAACATTGTGTGTTATGTGATCAGCACAGTTAATATCACAATGTTGTAGTTCAATAAGTACCTCTTTCAATTCAAATACTCAGAATTTGAGGAGTCTTGAAAGTATGAAAAATAATATGAAAACTCAAACACAGTGCAATATAGAGAATTAAAGTGCCAAATAAAGAAGGAAGAGGAGAAAATACATAGTGAAATCTGGATGTAGGAAAGCTATTTAGAAGAGATTATCTTTGTATAGAAATTATTTTAGTGCCTGGCTGGCATGGCTCAGTGGTTGAGCATCAGCCTATAAACCAGGAGGTCACAGTTTGATTCCTGGTCAGGGCACATGCCCAGGTTGTGGGCTCGATCCCCATTGTGGGACATGCAGGTCGCAGCTGATTGAAGATACTCTATCATCATTGATATTTCTATCTCTCCCTCTCCTTTCCTCTATGAAATCAATGAAAACATATTTTAAAAATTTATTTTAGGAACAACTTAGTCCATAACTTAGAGAACTACCTGATTTTACCCTGAGCAGTAAGTGTGTGTGTGTGTGTGTGTGTGTGTGTGTGTGTGTGTGTATATATATATATATATATATATATATATATATATATATAGTGTTTAGAAATGGAATAAATAATATAGTTATATATCTAAAAGCTTTTATAAATGCACTCATATAACATAAAAATCTGATATATTCCAATTTAAATAGGTTATATACTGAATACTTTATTGTTCAATGTTTTCTAAACTATCTCTTTGTTAAACATGAAAATCTCATATATTGCTTTAATGCTATTTGAGATTTCAAATTATCTATAATAATAAAAGCTTAATATGCTAACTAGACCGGTCGTCCTTCTGGACGACATTCCTGATGAAGCCAGAGCTGCGAGGGAAGCCCAGGACTTGGGTGCCAGAGGGAAGCTGGTGCTGACAGCCAGGGGAAGGAGGCCTGTTCTTGCATGAATTTCGTGCATTGGGCCTTTAGTGTTAAATATTGTGATTGAAGTAAACTAACTCAATGAACCTCCTGAGTGTGCTCTTTCAGTCTATATGTGCTAGACTCTCCTTCTTTGCACAGATCCCCTTTTAGAATCACAACATTGGAAAAGTTAAATAGGTAGTAATCTGCTAATATATTTTTTCCTCCCTTTTGTGTTATAAGGATTTACAGAAAGATATGCAAGGAAGTGCACAGGCATTGGCAGAAATAGTGAAAAACACAGAGAACTTCCTGAAAGAGAATGGTGAAAAGCTGTCACGAGAAGATCAGGCTTTGATTGAAGAGAAACTTAAGGAAGCTAAGATAAAGTGTGAACAACTCAATTTAAAGGCGGAGCAGTCGAAAAAGGAGCTGGAGAAAGCTGTGATGACAGCAATCAAGGAAGAGACAGAAAAGGTCCTTATTCAGGCATGCGGTGCACCTTGGCTTTGTTGAAAGTAGTTAGGATCACAGCTTCTTGATTCATTAAGTGAGGACAGGCAGTGCTAAGCTAACTACAGGCACCCAGGACTAGAATTCTGGGTTTCCACGTTTGTCATTGACCAAATGACCACAAAAAGTTTGAAGAGCTGGCTTTGCTTACCTTTTCTACAAAGTTAAAGTGGGATTCTGAGACTTCCTAATTGTGAAGTATGTGAGGGCTCATTAATTGCTATATAGTTAAAAATTTGGAATGTGTTTTTAAGAACAGTGGAAATGTCAGAGTAACTTCCTATTCCTCTAAGGCTTAATGTCAGTGTGTTCAGTTTTCAGTGCATGTCATTGTTTCGTATGCCCACTCTAATTTTAAATGATCTAAATGTTTACCTTTGGGGATGTCTTAAAACGAACAGGTGGGCCCACATTCAGAATACCCATGGTCAACGCCCTTCTCCCCCCAGGTTGCAGCTGTGAAGCAGCTGGAAGAGAGCAAAACCAAAATAGAAAACCTTTTGGACTGGTTGTCACATGTTGACAAAGACTCAGAAAGGGCGGGGATAAAACAGAAACCGGTGATTGAACAGAACGGGACTCACTTCCAAGACGGTGACAGCAAGTCGGAGATTGGAGAAGAGGACGAAGTGAATGGTAACCTGTTGGAAACTGAGATGGATGGGCCAGTTGGAACCACTGAGGAGAATCTGAACCAGCAATACCAGAAAGTTAAGGTGTGTTGTCTTCAACATAAGGATGTTGTTAAATCCTATTGTCCGGTCTATAAAAGGTCTATAAAAGAGAGGAGCAACTTGGCACATGTGACATGTATGGGTTGCTGTCTCCATCTTCCACATGCAGGAAACTGAGGCCCCATGGAACTAGTAGTAACTGCAGCATTCTTTTTTATTGTGTGTTCCTCTAAGTTCATTGGGCTTCTCAGCATCTATATTGTTCTTGCTTAATTATTGTCATAATGTTTTGATCACTTTAAAATTACAAAATTTTGTATTCTGTTGAACTGTCCTTTTAGGATCATGTAATAAGGTAAACCTTATACCTATTTGCTCAGTAATTAGGTAAAGGCATTAGCAGCCTCTGTAAGGTGTTGTGAGGAAGCAGTGAGTATAATGAGACCTGACTGCAGATGCTTGTTTTAGAATTGGAGGACAAATCTGTTACATTTTCCCAAAGCTTCACAACAATAGCCTCTGTCATATGTGATTATATGAGTACTTTCAAGGAGATTGGAAATCTTAAAAAATAAGATTAGAGTACTTGAAACCTAGCATTTTCTATTCTGAAACTTACCAATAAAAGGCAAGTACTGTGCATCTTGAAAGGTTAACAAGAAGCAAGTTGTCTGTCTATAGATCATTGAAGTTTGTAGGTCCTGAGGCAACGGAGAGCTCCCCACAACCTCAGAGTAACCCCTTCCCAGCTTTAAAGTCACAATGTCTCTGTTTCCCCGTAGGCCCAACACGAGAAGATCATCTCTCAGCAGCAAGCCGTCCTCCTGGCCACTCAGTCTGCACAAGCCCTGCTGGAGACGCAGGGTCACTATCTCTCTCCCGAGGACAAAGAGAAACTGCAGAAGAACATGAAGGAACTGAAAGCGCACTACGAAACTGCACTGGCCGAGTCGGAGAAGAAAATGAAGTTAACGCATTCTCTGCAAGAGGAACTGGAGAAGTTCGACGCGGATTATGGAGAGTTTGAGCACTGGCTGCAGCAGTCGGAGCAAGAGCTGGAAAACCTGCAGGCGGGGGCAGATGACTTCAGTGGCTTAATGGCCAAACTGAAGCGGCAGAAGAGCTTCTCAGAAGATGTTATTTCTCACAAAGGCGACTTGAGGTACATCACAATTTCTGGAAACAGGGTGTTGGAAGCAGCCAAGTCTTACAGCAAAAGAGATGGCAAGGCCGACCAACATAATACTGACACTTCTGCTGCTCACAGAGAAGTCCAGAGCAAATTGGATCGTGCCACGGACCGGTTCAGGTCTCTCTACTCTAAGGTAAATTTAGTTTTATTTTTTAAGGGGAAGATCAATTTGTGATTATAGTTTTTTATTATTCTCTCAATATTTGTTTTGGAATTAGAAGCGAGAAATCTAAACAACTGAAGCAGGGAAAATAGGTAGTTTTATCTTATTTATGTCAGTCTTACTCACCTTCTTTACTTCAGAAACTGTGTTTCAAGTTTGGGAGCCTAAAGTAGTAATAATAGTTATTATTATTATTATTATCACTTTAGTTTTGAGTGATTTCTAGGCAGCTCTAACTCTAAAACTCATTAATACCCGGTTCTACCACCAGGTGGCGGTCATGTTTTGTTTCCGAGCAAACAGTAGCTTGCTAAATTTCACAGCCTCACAAATTTGAGAACTAAAGTTTCGTCTCAGATAATTCCCTTCACAAATACTGCAAGTGTTTGTTTTACAGATGTATTTGATCAGTGCATTATTTTAATACTTAATAACTCACAGACTCTTTCAGCTTCTCTTATTCCCTTGGACAAACCGCAAAATTAAGAAAACATTTCTCTGTTTACTATATAAGCTGAATAGACTGGCCAAGTTACACAAGTGATTTGAAGAGCATCATTTACTCCTGGCCTTGGCTTCATTCTGATGTAGATTATTTGCCCTTCTTGTGTTAATTAATCTTGATCAATGTATAGAGGTGATTCATTAAGGACCTTGATAAGACATACATATCTAGACACCTGGTATATAAAACTCAATGGGAATGTGCTCTGGTAGATCTGCTGCCTCCGACGATTGATATCCAAACCTTTCACTTTGGATCAAGACTCAGCCCTTGAAAACAAGTCTTAAAATGTGTATAAATTTAGGACTATCTGCTCATTTTTATGGTATTTCTTAATTTTGTTAGAGGATGCTTTTTCATATAAAGGAGAAAAATCTTAGCACTACAGTTCCAGCTCACATTGGTTTGAAGTCTAGTGCTTTCTAAGTTATAGCACTCACAGGTGCTAATCTACAAATAAAAATGGTAGATTTTAATTCTCCACTCTTTTTCTCTTTTGATATTTTTAGTGCAGTGTCCTTGGGAATAATCTTAAAGACCTGGTGGATAAGTATCAACACTATGAAGATGCTTCATGTGGACTTCTTTCCGAGCTCCAAGCCTTCGAGGTCACAGCCAGCAAACACTTGTCTGAACCCATTGCTGTGGACCCTAAAAATCTGCAAAGGCAGTTAGAAGAGACTAAGGTAAAGAGAGAGAGAGAGGATGGGGACCAGCCCTTCATTGAGTCTTACTGAAAACCTTTCCCACAGTTTTGTGATAGTTTCACCTGGAAGTAGAACAAAGGAGGAGAAAAGTATATTTCTCCCTCTAGAGAGTTATAACTTTAATTTTTAGCAGTCTATTTATTGTCTAACTAGAGGCCTGGTGCACGAAATTTGTACACAGGTAGAGTCCCTAGGTCTGGCCGGTGATCAGGGCTGATTGGGGCCTTCTGGCTGCCGGCCAGGGCCCTCTTTCCCTGGCTGCCAACTGCCGGCCAAGGCCTTCCTTCGCTCAACGCCACCCCATGGTGGTCAGCGCACATCATAGTGTGCAATTGAACTCCCTGTCTCCCGGTCAAACTCCTGCAGGGAAAATTTGCATATTAGGCATATATATATATATATATATGCCTAATATGCAAATTGTATATATATGAGATTATTTTTCTATTGCTGTTTAACCAGGTTGACATTGCTGTTATGGCTGATTAGTTATATCCCATCACTCCCTCCCTCCTCCAAAAACAAAAACCAGTATCGTCTGGGCCACTTGTTTATCTTTATACATATTTATTTTGTTTCTTTTTTCCACCATTAGAATTAAATTGCATGAGGGCAGGTGTGTTTGTTTATTTTGTTTATTGCTCTATCTGAGAAGCACTTAGAACAAGATCTGGCCCATCTATTACCTATGGACAGGTAGAAGGTAGGAAGGGATGTTACTGTCTCACATGTGGGCTCTGAGGATTAGGACTGGTGTTCTTATTGAACATTCCCATGATTCATAGAGATATAAACTTTTGTTATTACCTAGCACAATTTTCAAAGAATCTACTTGCTCTTTAAAAAAACGCAGGCTTGATGTGGGAACTGCATACAGCAGTGGCAAGGAGAGTCTCTGTTTCTTAAATTTAAACATATTTTTACATCGTAATGTAAGGGGAAATAATTATTTTTAATTTATTTTTTATTGGATTTATTGGGATGACATTGGTTAATAAAATTATATAGGTTTTAGATATATATCATAATTCTACAATACCTCATCTGTATATTATTTTGTGTGTTTACCACTCCAAGTCAAGTCTACTTCCATTACCACTTATCCCTCCCTTTTACAATCTAAGTGGAGATAATTTTTGAAGTATCTTATTCTTATTCCACATGACCAACTATTTTGAGTTTGAAAGTTTTAATTTCATAAATCTATCCTGTGATTCCTTTTAGCAGGTGAGTAGCAGTATTATTGGCACTGGAACTAGAAAGTAAACACTGTATAGCCAGTTAAACAACTGCCTTTCAGAATTTAGTTGCCTGTTAGTTACAGAATTAACTAGGAAAACAGGTACCCGATTGAGTGAGCTTAACCTCAGGTTTTGCCTGAGACTGGTGACTTCGGGCTGGAAGAAAGCCAAGTCATCCCCTTGGGTGAAACGTGGTAGGTTAAGTCAGACCAAGGCAGAAAGAAGAGGGATGGAAGTATGGGATGAGAGGAGGAAGTATGGGGAGGTAAGGGGGATGGTGGCCCTGCTATTTTCCTGGGCTGGAGAGTTTACCGGTTCTACATTAGGCACCAGGGAGATGTCTTGGACCAGATCAGCCTCCCTACATTGATACAGCCTCCAAGTGGTTGCCTCATTCCTTTGAATGTAAATTTTTAACACTGTTTTGGGTGTGTGTGTGTGTGTGTGTGTATTTTGTTTTTTAACTATGGTGGTGAATTATTATTATTTTTAATCCTCCCTGGGATATGCTTATAGATTTTAGAGAGAGGGAAAATCAGAAAGAGAGAGAGAGAGAGAGAGAGAGAGAGAGAGAGAGAGAGAGAGAGAGAGAGGAAAGAAGGGAGGAGAGAGAGAGAGAGAGAGAGAGAGAGAGAGAGAGAGAGAGAGAGAGAAGAGGGAAATATCGATGGGTTGCCTTGTGTACACACCCAAACCGGGGATCAAACCTGCAACCTAGGTATGTTCAGTGACTGGAAATTGAACAGTGTATGGGAAGATGCTCCAACTAGTGGAGCCACACCAGCTTGGGCTTTGCTTTTTTTCTGTTTTGTTTTGTTTACTCTCTCTCTTTCCCACAAGCACCGGAACAGATCTGTCTTAATTAAGTTTCTGATTCTCACTTGATAACTTGTCTAAGAACAGTGTACATGAGAGCGTTGGAGGAGATGCTGTTACATAGAGGCTATTATTTTTATAGGAAATGCCAGTAGCTTTAGGTAATTGTTAAGACTGCCTACATTTAATCATATAGCTAAGTATTTGAGTATAAAAAGTACAGAAAACAACACATTTTAAGTTGTATCTGTATTAGGAAGATGGTTATATCTAGTGTAAAAGTAATTTTTTTTCTGTAACTAGAGGGGGGAAAAAAGGAAAGGAAAGGAAAGGCAAAAGAATGTATGGCTATTTTAACCAAGCAGAAACGTGAATTAATTTAAAACATCTTACTTGGCATGTACTGTGGAAGATGATTTCTCTATTCCTAAGGCAATCGAGAAAGTGTAAAAAGAAAAGTATTATCTCAGAGGAGCACGAATTCTAATTAAGCCACAGCGTCCTTTTAAAAATTAAATGTGTGATTAAAGTTGTTCCTGGCACTTGATGTTTTCCTCACAGATGATTTCAGCCTCCAGAGAGCATAGTTTTTATGAGAATCAGGCAGTCTCTATTCCTTTCAGCTCTATTAACAACACCGAAAAGTTATTTTTCTTTAACTATAGCATAAACACATAAGACCACTACAAAAATTCAGCCTTTTCTGTATTTATAATTCTAACTTCTACTTATAGTTAATTGTATAACACATGTAAATTGAGGAAACCCAGTTGGCTCATTTGAAACATTTTTGTCCAATAGCACATTGTTATCAGCATAATTATTCAAAGAACTGTTTGCTGTGTTGTCAACAACCTGATATCCCTGGGCTATAATGACATTACGCAAGTTCTGCTTCTAGGAAATCCACAAACACTACAGACTTTCTGCCCCACATGAAGCACAGAAAGATAGGATTCTGGGACCAGTCTGGAGGCCTGGTTCTGGGACCAGGCATGGAGCTCAGTCACATTGACTGACAATGAGCACCTTCCAACCTTTCCCTGATCTCTGGGATGGCCATAAGTCAGGAAGCTTTTATGAGTTGGGCAAGTACTCAGGCTCATCTTTTGCTGGCCCAGGCTGGAGACCAAGATTATGACCTTGCAGTATTCTCTGTCCCAGATACTTCTTTCATGATTTAATTTCACTGAAATCTATTAAAGACAATATGTGGCATCCATTTGAATACTTTAATTTGAAGTGTCTCTCCCCCCCCCCCCCCCGCCCACACACAAAGTAATACTATCAACCATGACTGCAGCTCAATTATAACCTGGTATCATGTTAGGAATGAAAAACTATTGACTTTCTTGGACACAATTAGGAGAGAAAAGGCGTGGGATGTTTTGAAGAGAAGAGGTGAAGGAGGGATGCTTCTTTTGTCAGTCATTTCTAAGTTTTAGCTGGTTGCAGGGTCATCCTTGGTCCTGGATGATTTTATAGAACCATGACAGCTTTTACATGCATTTGTTTACTGGTAGATGTTTATATGCTAGGCCCATTATTGGGTTTTGTGAAGACATAAAGGTATTAAAACCCTACCTCTGCCCTCGGGGAACTCACATTCTTAAAAATAATTTTTTAAGACTTCAGTCTGGTTATAGGTAAGGTTCCTTGAGGAATTTCTTATATAATCCTTTCTGTATCTAAACTGTGATCACCCTAAGTCTAGTACCCATTTGATACCATACATAGTTATTACAATACTAGAGGTCCATTGTAGGAAGATTCCTGTAAGAATAGGGCTTCCTGCGGCCTTCTCCCCCACCCCGCCTGCTTCCCTCCCTTCTCCCCCGCTCTGCCTGCTTGCTTCTCCTCAGCTTTGCTTCCTTCTGCAGCACTTGGCTTCCTTCTACTGTTTTTAGCCTTTGCTCTGTGCCTGGATATGAAAATTAACTGCCATCTTGGTTGGGTTAATTTGCATACTTGCTCCTGATTGGCTGGTGGGCGTGACTTGTGGGTGTTGCAGAGGTACAGTCAATTTGTATGTTTCTCTTTTATTAGATAGGGCTAGAGGCCCGGTGCACGAATTGGTACACAGATGGGGTCCCTCGGGTTGGCTGGCAGGGATTAGGCTGAAACCTGCAGTCCAATGCTACCTGTAGCTCCTACCTGCCATTTCCACTCATCCCAGTCCCACTGTGCCTGCTGTGAGCTAGCATCCAATCAGTCTCGATTCAGAGAGGCTTGTGTTACTGCAGCAGCCCTCACCAGCTGTAAGCCCTGCATTTTACAGTGGGATCGGAATAAAACTGGCTCTCCGACATCTCCTAAGGGATCCTGGATTGGGAGAGGGTGCAGGAGAGGCTGAGGGACCCCACCGGTGCACAATCAGGGCTGGGGAGGAACTGCAGGAGGGTTCTAGGGCATGTCTGGCCTATCTTGCTCAGTCCCGATTGGCTGGACCCCAGAAGCAAGCTAACCTACCGGTCGAAGCATCTGCCTCCTGATGGTCAGTGCACGTTATAGTAACTGGTCAACCGGTCAACTGTCTGCTCCCTAGTAATCAGTGCATATTATAGAGACTGGTTGAGTGGCCTTAGGATATCATTAGCATATTACAATTTGATTGGTTGAACAGTCTACAGGACACCGGATGACCAGACACATCCTTTTCCTGTGATTCCTCCTTTTCTTTCATATGGGGGCTGTTTCTTTGTTTCCCCATTTTTGCTCCTCTTAGTTTGTCTGGTTATATTGCTCACTGTCTACTACGTTGGCCAAAAGGCACAACATTTCAGCATTTTAGGCTTTTATTATATAGGACTAGAAACCTGATGCAGGAAATTCATGCAGGGGGCTCAGCCCTCGTAGTCCCAGCTGCTTTGGTCCTTGCAGCCCCAGCTTTGTCCAGAAGGTCATCCGGATGGTTGTCTGGAAGGTTGTCAGGATAGTTGTTTTGCTGATCAGCCTAATTAGCATATTAGCTCTTTATTATATAGGATTATTGACTAATTTTCCTATGCTGTACTTTACATCCCCATCTCATTTCTATAACTACCAATTTGTATATCTAAATCCCTTGTATATCATTTTCCCAACCCCACCTCTCATCTGGCAACCATCAGTTTATTCTCTGTATCTGTTAGTCTATTTCTGTTTTGTTTGTTCATTTATTTTGGTTTTTATATTTCACATACAAGTGAAACCACATGGTATTTGTCTTTCTCTTATTTATTTACTTAGCATAATATCCATTGGGTACATCCATGCTGTCACAAATGGCAAGATTTCATTCTTTTTTTTATGGCTGAGCTATATTCCTTTGTATATATGTACCACATCTTTATTCATTCATCTGTTAACAAGTACTTAAGTTGCTTCCATATCTTGGATATCTATCTATCTATCTATCTATCTATCTACCGATATCAGCCTAAGTGACTGTTACAACCAGATGATCAGATGACTAGATGGTAGCTATGATGTGCACTGATCACCAGGGGCCAGATGTTCAATGCAGGAGCTTCCCTCGGGAGGTCAGTGCACTCCCACAGCCAACCTCCCACAACCTCCCACGGTCCTCCTCCTCCTGGCTGGCCAGCCCAGATTGGCCCAGTGGGGACTGGACAAGACAGTTCCGATTGGCCCTGATTGACAGCCAGGCCTAGGGAATCCACCTGTGCATGAATTTGTGCACCTGGCATCTAGTTGTAAATAATGCTGCAGTGAACATATCTTTTTGAATTAGCATTTTGGATTTCTTCATATTTCAGAAGCTTTTATCAAGGCCTACTATATGCCAAGCAATGGTCTAGGCATTGATAACAGAAACCCGAATAGGAAAAAAATGCCTAATTTTTGAGGACGTTATAGTTTGATAGAAGAGACAAATAAATACAGCAATATTTACTACCAGTAGGTATTTATGGGAGCTCCTGGGGGAAGTACTTACAACTAGGATTGAGGAGAGTTAGGGAAGGCTTCCCAGATGAATTTTAAAGAGTGAATACTAGTTCAGCTGAGAATGATGGGAGGGAGGTTGCTGGGAAAGTTGGTATGTAGAGATGCTAAAGTATCTAGGGTGAGCAAATAGGCATAAAATAGCTGGAACAGAAAATAGAGAAAAATGACATTGAAGATAGAATTAAGGAATAGCTTTCACTGGACTTTTAATAGTATGCTCAAGTTTTTGCCTTTTATTGTGAAGGCAATGGGGATCTACTGTAAGATTTTAAAGAGGGGAGTGATATACATAGATATGTATTTTTCACAAAACACATTGAGGGTCTATAGCAGTGAAGACATTAGATGCTTTTTCCAATTAAGCAAGAGATTATTTTACAGTGATCCAGAAATACAGAGCAGAAGTCTGATTTTATTTAAAAAAGAAAAAGATACACACATATATATTAAGCAGGTAAAATTGGTAGGTCTTGATGGTTGATTTGCATGTGGGAAGGAGGATTGAGAGTCACGGAGGATCCTCAGATTTATTACCTGGGTAATAAGATGCAAACCCAGGAGGAAATACAGGTGTAGAGAATGAGATAATGGGTTCAGATTGAGCTTTTTGAATTTGAGGTGATGGTTTACACCCAGATGGAAACATTCAAGAGGCTGTTGGAAACCTGGGCCCATGGCCAGGGATGAGTTCATCTACAGTCCGACATATGGGATTCGAAATCCAAATGTGAGACTAGAAGAGGAGCTTGAGAACCTCAAGTGGAATTAAAGCCAAGCGTGGGGCTGTGTGGCCAGGCAGCCCATTAGACAGAGGTGTTAGGAAGGCAGGGCCAGGCTTCTGGCAGACTTATCTATGGTTTCCATCTCTGTCTCTTTCCTCCTCATTCTTGTTCTAGAAATGCATCTGCTCACTCAGAGAACTCCAGGGATCTTTAGTCAACAAATTAAAGGTTGCATTATCCTTTTGAAGCAGTTGGCAGTTCACCAGTGCCACTCTCTCTTCTTTTTAACTCTGGGGACAGAAATACTCTGGGCTCCCTTCCCTGTTCCTGATAATGATTTTCCACCTCTTTCCCCCTCCTTACCACTTATACCTAAATATGCTCCATGATGCTGCACGGCCCTTCTCTGGTGTTTCTGTGCTTTCTCCTTTCACAGTCTCATCATGGGTCCTGACCTCCAGTGCTTCAGGGCTAGGTCTAGCCTGAGTTCAGAGTCTCCTCTGTTCCCAGCTGTGCTGTTTCTTTCTACGTGAGTGTCCTAACAGCGCTTGGCAGCCGCAAATTCCCAACAGATGCTCCTTTGCGCCTAAACATTTTTGCTTATGAATCCCATTAATTACCTGGACTCAGAACCTTGGGGTACGTCTCTCCTCCAGCTCACCTCTTGTCCCTTGCGCCTGACCTCTCCAGCAGTGATGTCCAGGGGCACATTCTGTGATGATGAGAATGTCCCATGATCTGCTCTGTCCGACACGGTAACCACCAGTCCCCGCTAGCTACGTAAAGCTTCGGATGTGGCTAGTACAGCTGAGAAACTGAGTTTTAAATTTCACTGGCTTGCGATCGATTTCAATGTAAAAGCCACTTGTAGGGAGCAGCTGCCGTATTGGCGAGCACAGCGTTAGATGATCGATTACCACGTTCAGTGGACGCCTCCCAGCTCCGAAACCCGTTCTGCTTGCTCAGCTCAGACAGGCACTCTCCGCCTCGGGACTGCTGACCTCGTCCTTAACCAGTATCCCTGCTTCATTTCTCTCCAATCGAGTGTTCCCGCACAGTGTCACCAACATAGCCTTCCTTCCATAAGACAGCTCTCAGCATGCCAACCCCTTCCTCAAAAGCCCTGTTGCTTCAGGATAAAATGCAAACTCCTCAGCCTGACGCTGGAGACCTTTCAGTCCTATTGCTATGTATTCAGCTGCATACATTCTCAGACTGGATGGGACCTTAATTTTTCCTCAGATGCTTCTGTTGCCATCTTTGTTCATTCTGCAGGGAATTGTCCTCCCTCTCCTCTTCTGTCTGCCCACACCCACACTTTCTCCAGGACCATCTCAGTGCCTCTCTCCAGTGACTCCTCCTCTCAGCTTCTGGTAGAACTTTTTTTTACTCCCTTTTGGCACTTTCTACTCCTTGCCTTAGACTAGAAGATCCCTGTGGGGGAGCTTCATGTCTGTTCGATTTCTGTGTTTTTCACAAAATGTAGCAAGATCTTCTTGAATATGTTAGATGTTATTGAATTAACAAAAAGTAATATGGCTTTATTGAATTAACAAAAAGTAATATGACTTCGTAGTGACTTAGGATCTGCTTCAAATAAAAGCCTTTAATTGTATTTTTACGTAGAGTAGAAATGGTCCCAAAGGTTTTCTGTGGTTTGTTTTTATTTTTATTTTTTATTCCTGGTTGGGGGAGGTGGTACTGTACAAAGCAGAGAAGTGGGAGTTGTGGAGCTGAGGCTGAGGGTCACAGGTTCAGGAATCAGGCCAATTAGCATGAACATATGCTCCAGGGTTTATTTCAAAAGGCTGAATTTGTATTTCCCCAACTGGCTGATGGTTTTGCTAGCGCCACTTTATAGCTGGCTTTATTCTAAGAATTCTGGACTAAGTTTATAATGATAAAAAGTTGACTCTGTCCAATTTACCTTTATCTTACTGTTAGTCATTTTTTTGTTCACATTGGAAATCTATTGTTCAGTCCTGAGTGTAATCGAAGCATTCGATCCTTTAGGCTCTGCAAGGACAGATATCAAGCCAGCAGGTGGCTGTAGAGAAACTGAAGAAAACAGCCGAAGTGCTTTTAGATGCCAGGGGATCTCTAGTCCCAGCCAAGAATGACATCCAGAAGACCCTGGGTGAGTGCTCATTCCCTTGTTTCCTCTCAGGCACACTCTAAGAGAAGGGGTTCTGACAGACAGGCAGAAGAGGCTCACTAGTGTCTGTTGTCATTCACACCCTTTCCCTGTGAAATAATGTTTCTCTCTCTGGCAAGAATATTCCTTCTTTGGCAGGAATATTACATTCTGGAAATGGGAGCTGTGTAGTTTGAGAAGGATGCATTTCGATTTTAATTTTATATGTAGTCAGTGTAACAGGAACTTTTTACCTGATAATCACCACAGAAAGTAGAACTTCCCAAGATGAGATTGGGCAGAGCTAGACTCTCAACCTGTGGCCAAAACACACTCTTGGGGACTCTGCCTCTACCAAGGCAGGAGCATGGCTTTAAGAGGTTGAGAGACCAGCAGATGATTAGGTAAATATTTCCTCCCCCCAAAGAGCACCTGAATTAAAATCTGAATAGGAATTTTAGCCAAAGAGAAGGAAGAAACATTGCTCTTCTAAAACCACTGTAGAGACAGGAAAACTATTTTTTCTTTCTTACAGACATCCAAACTCTTTTGATCTTGTATCCCATCAAATGATTGTTTTAGTATACACCCTTATATATGCATATATGTTGATAAATTATATACACATATTACTATTGTATCCTATCACATGTACTATATTTATAAAACACAAAAATATAAAAATTTAAAGTACAAGACAAAAATCTGAATGGGAGTTCTTTTTCCTATATCCCAGTGCACTGCTATAAGGATTTGGGCATAGGTACTGAGAGGAGAAAGAAAGACTGTATTATATGTACTTTTGTTACTTTTAAGAGGCGTTTTGACATTTTCCCCCCATTGTTAATCATACATAATTTCACTTATATTTGTTTACAATCCATATGTTACCTTATTTTAAGACTTTAAAACTTCTCTCTGAAAAAATAATTTTTTAGGTATATATGTAAGTACAAGATGGGACAAAAGTAGGCTTACAGTTCATATGAAAAATAAGTAATAAATAATAAAAGAATAAACTGTTTCCTCTACTCACAACTATAAACCTACTTTTGCCCCATTCTGCATATTTAAGATGTAGAGGAGTTGATAAGAAAATCAACTACTTAAAAAAAAAAAGTTGGTACATTTTGTTCTGTACCTTTTTCTAAAATAATTTTTAATTACTAAAAATTAAGAATTTACTTTAGTGAAAGTGACATTTCATCACTAAGAAGTTCAAAAATAGCAGTCAGGCTGAAATTGTATTAACTTTATTAGGATAGCTGTTTGTTCCAGAAATCACCTGTGGTAACTGAACAGGTAGCTGATGGTACCCTGCTCTGATGGTACCCTGCTCTGATGGTGCCCTGCTCTGATGGTACCCTGCTCTGATGGTACCCTGCTGATGCACAGAGCTGCCCAATGGCGAAGCAGCTCACCTGCCAATCACAGCCTGTGGTTCAGAACATTGGCTCTTGTGACTCTCAAATGAAGGCTTATGCTTAACCCATTGCTTTTTTTTTTTTTCTTTTCTTTTCTGTTGGTGGCATCTCAGTGCTCATAAAATGCTATGCCTGTTCCCCATCAGCATTTTCAGGGGCTTCATTGTCCTTCAGTGACAGCAGCCATTGTCTCTTTAAAAATCATCTTAAAGTCTCAATTCAGTGAAAATTCGTCAAACTGTGTTCTCATGCTATAACATTAGAACAATTAGAAAGAAATTTTGTTTATATGGATATGTTCCCCAGGCCAGCCACAAGCATGTAAGAGATTTCAATTTTATAGAGATATTTCAATTCCAAATTTTCTTCTCCTGAAACATTCTATAGTATATCAGACTAAAACATTTAGAAATAATTGAAATACTTTTCAAATTGTTGGGAAATTAAGTGATAACGTTAACAACTAACAAAAGATTGTTTCAGAGAGAGAGAGAGAGAGAGAGAGAGAGAGAGAGAGAGATTAAAAATTGTCCCTGGAACTTCTTATTGACCTACAGTATAGAATGGAAGGTGTGGAAATGTAGAGCTTTACATGCAAGTAAAAATTAGACCAGAAAGGTGTTTTGTGTATGTTCTTTAGCATCTTGGGTTGTTAGACTTGAAAGTAAAGTTAACCTTATCTGAGATAGATTAACTGTTAATCTTGTTTATTTTTCCCTTTTGCCAGGAATAAAACTTTATTTTAGAAGCATAATCTCACCCTTCTCTATTTTAAGTGCATTTTCATTGTTGTATGTTTTCTCAATACATTTGCGCTTAATTTCTGTGCCTTTGAGTACTGTGCTTAGGATGATGACAGGGAGTAGCAGGTATGGAGTGAAGAGGCGTCAATGAGGGGGAGAAAGGGACATCTATAATACTTTCAAAAATAAAGATGAATTAAAAAAATTATACATGTGAGCGAGAGGGAGTGGGAGGGAATTTTTATACATAAAGGTTAATTCTTTTTATTAAAAAAGGTAAATTTTTAAACATAAATGTTAAGTCTTTATGACTGTATTTTGTTCATTGAGAATAGCTTTGGATGAGTGTCAGCTTTTCCCTCCCATATAGTTATCAATAAGTATGGCTCATTTGACATGCCACATTGAAAATGTGTATTTACTTCAAAGATTTGTTGGTTAGAATGCTTTCATCTCTCTGGGGCAACTCAAATGTTTCTGTACCTAACAATGTTTTTTTCCAATGTGGATGATACACATATTTACTATTTTAAAAAGTATTGGTTTTTCATTCTCCACTGTGATCTTTCTTTTCGTTTTTAATGTTTTAGATGGTGCCCTAATTGCGCATTATGAATTTATCATTGAAACTTTTTTTCTCTTTCCAATTTTGAGGTGGACATTTTGTGATTTCACCTTAGTGTAATTTTGACAAGGAATAGGGCAAAGGTGACTTTTAAGGTGGATAACATTTCCCGATCTCTTGGGACTAGATGACATTGTTGGGAGATATGACGATCTGTCCAAGTGTGTGAACGAGCGGAATGAAAAGCTCCAGATAACCCTGACCCGCTCGCTGAGCGTGCAGGACGGCCTGGACGAGATGCTGGACTGGATGGCAGGTGTGGAGAGTTCTCTGAAGGAACAAGGCCAAGTGCCCTTGAACTCTGCTGCCCTTCAGGATGTCATCAGCAAGCACATTGTAAGTGACCAGGAAAAAAAGAAAATAAATAATACCACTTTTAGGTTAAGAAAACATACCGTTAGATTAAACTCCCAGGACATGTACATTTAAGGAGATAGAAAAACAGACGTTTTATGAATATACCAATACCTGTGGAACGCAGTGCTTGCACAAAATCAAATGTATAGAATGATTTTTTTCTATGGCCTAGGGGAAGAATTTTTGTATCCTTGTTCATGAATAGAATTCACCGTAGAGGGCTTACACGTACATTGAGTCCTGCTTAATTTAGCCTTGCTTCATCCAGCTGTCCGTGAGATTAATCAGATCAATCTTGTTGTTGTCCAGCCTCTTAAAAATTAGGACCGTGGATAATCCCCAGGCTCCGTTAGAGCCCAGGGGTTGCCAAGTGGCAGCCACCCCCTGCCTCTCGCAGGCCACTAGCCAGCTGTTCTCTCCTCTCCCTTGAAGAGATTTGGGATGGGATTCCTCACGGGAGTGATCAGACATGTCAGTTAGTCCACTCCGTCAACCTTCCTTAGTCACAGTTTGTTGTTATGAACAGTAATTTTTCGAGACTCCGGGACATTATTTGTAAACATCCTTACAAAACATACATGCTGGTTGGGTTCATTTCAGATGTTGGAACAGGACATCTCGAGTCGCCAGAGCAGCATGAATGCCATGAACGAGAAAGTGAAGAAATTCATGGAAACAACAGACCCATCTACTGCATCCTCGCTGCAAGCCAAAATGAAGGAATTGTCTGTTCGGTTTTCAGAAGCAAGTCGTACACACAAGGAGAAACTGGCCAGCATGGAGGAACTGAAAACCAAAGTAGAACGGTTTGAGAGCCTCTCAGAAAAGCTTCAGACATTTTTGGAGACAAAAACTCGGGCTCTCACGGAGGCAGATGTGCCAGGAAAAGATGTTACAGAACTGTCTCAGTATATGCAGGTATGCCTTCCGTAGTATTCACAAGCTGATCAAGCAGAGTAACAATTAAGACAAGCGCATACATTTACTGGCAGAATTATAACTCACCGTCATCATTTCAGTTGCTGATGAATTCATAAAGATCTCTGCTTCCCTCCTTTAAAAATCACAAATCCCAACATCTCCTTGAAGCCTTTGCTGGCTGCACTTTTCACATATCATAGGCAATCTAAGCTTCTTTTTTTAAAAATATGCTTTGTTTTTAAATATGTATTTTTTATTGATTTCAGAGAGGAAGGGAGAAGGAGAAGGAGAGAGAGATAGAGACATTAATGATGAGAGAGAATCACTGATCGGCTGCCTCCTGCATGCCTACTACTGGAGATTGAGCCTGAAACACTGGCATGTGCCCTTGACCAGAATTTAACCTGGAACCCTTCAGTCTGAAGGCTAACATCACTCTATCCAAACCGGCTATGGCTAAAAACATGTTTTTGAAATTGATTTCAGAGAGAAAGGGAGAGGGAGAGAGAGATGGAAACATCAGTGATGAGAGACAATCACTGATCAGCTGCCTCCTGCACGCCCCCTATGGGGGATCATGTGCCCTGACTGGAAATTGAACCGTGACCTCTTGGTTCATAGGTCTATGCTCAACCACTGAGCCAAGCTGGCTTGGCAATATAAGTTTCTTATGTGCAGCACTCACAAAGGGACAGATGTAAAGAATGCCTTTTTAAATTAAATGAAGCTTTCTGTGTTCCTCTTTACACAGCCTGCTCGCATATTTATTTATATTTAGAGTACTGACTACAGGGCAGGATTATTCTCATGTGAGACGCGTGTCCCATGCATACCTCTTGATGGAATGTCTTTTGAAGATTTAGCAACATCTTACATTAATTGACTATCTAAATGCTTTGTAGGAATCAACTTCTGAATTCTTAGAACACAAAAAAGATCTTGAAGTTTTGCAGAGTCTCTTAAAGGAGATATCCAACCATGGCTTACCAGGTGATAAGGCCCTGGTGTTTGAAAAAACAAATAATTTGTCAAAGAAATTCAAAGAAATGGAGGATACCATCAAAGAAAAGTAAGCATCACTTAAGAAACTGGATTTTATTCTGCATGATACTAATTAGAATACATTATTTATATTTACTTATATAGAAACTTGAAACAATTTTGAAAACTTGTGCATAAGCATCAACTTTATAAGTGCTTTTACATTAATATCTTTTTCAATTAAAATTAAATGTATTTTTGTTAAAATATTTAGGAGGGAAACTTAAGACTTCTTACATAAAACTAGAGAGCATTAATGTAAGGAAAATGTAGTGGTAGTGTATTACTGAACATAACCTTAACTCACGATAGTGTCTGAAGCCTTTGGCTAATACCATCTTTTATTTGCAAAGGCAGAAATAACCTTGAAAAATAGCCTATGGCTCATTGCTTTCTGGGCTCAATTCAGAAGCTGGCTTTTTTTTTTTTTTTTTTTAATAACAGTTTACTTTCTTAGGAGTCATAGCTAATACATGACTCTATGAGCAAACAAGATAAGAAACAATAAAAGGAACCTAAGTTTAGCTACAAAGCTGTGTAGAGATAAGCCTTGTGACTGCACTTTTATATTTCTGATCTCATGCTAGTTTAGAGTACATAGTACATCTGGTTTTGCTAACATTTATACAGAAGACCCCCTCCCCAAATAGAAAAGAACTATTTCTCTTTCAAGTATTTGTTATTTCTTCATAATCTCTACTTAAAACTTTTGACTGTTTGTCTGAACTACTCAGAGAGCTATATTTTCCACCTTGTCATATCACATCTAATTCACATACTACACAGAAGAAACAGTCTTCATTTTCTTAGGTAAACTCTAGGTTGTTTCTTTAAAATGGATTCAGTTTTAAAACCATGTAGTCATCAGTAATTCGTCCAGCTGGAATAGACTTTTATCTGCCAATATTCCACACACTCGCACATGTGCACATGTTACCCACATGTTGTCCACGTTCCAAATGGAACTGTCTTTACAGCTGTTCATGTGCTAGGCATGGGCCCTCCCTCCGAGGTGCTGAGGTACAGAAAGATCCATATAGTTAACCGTGGAGCTTCCAGAATCTCTGTAGGGGAGGCACCCCTTAAAACTTTTTAGTCACTAGGTCTTACCTCTTTTGGTGACTCAACTATGTGTGTTCTAAGGCACCTGCTTTTAGCTATCCAATAAAGTGACTGTAGTATGGTACAGAAACCACTAGGTGGCGGTGCATTTCCCCTCATGTCTGTGATGTGTAAATGTTTCCCTCTGGCAGTAAGCACCATATTAAGTGGACAGATCAAAGCTCATTGAATCTAAATAATGTTAAAGCTGTTTATCTAGCCTTAGAGCTTATGTAGCCTTATAGAGTGCCTTTACATATGGGTTACAGATTTCTTTACTTCTCCTAACTTTATCTATGGACTCTGTCTTTGAGAAATAGAGATTTCACTTCCCACCGATAACCCTTTCCTCCCTGTATCAAATGGTTAGTGTGTATGTGGGGGAAGATTTTTTTTTTCTTGATAGTAAGCCCAATGTGAGAAAGATTATTTATTAATAATTAGCTCTTTGGAGTATGCACTCTCCCTGGCTTAAATTCCTCAAATGGTTTCTGTTACTTAGAAAAGAAGCTGTGTCTTCTTGTCAAGGACAGATGGATGCCTTCCAAGTCCTTGTTCAGTCATTAAAATCCTGGATCAAAGAAACAACCGAAAGAGTTCCCGTCGTGCAGCCTTCCTTTGGTGCAGAGGATTTAGAAAAATCTTTGGAAGAAACTAAGGTGAATCATTGAATCAAATACTAATTTCTCATTTGCCTGTGTCAGTAATTAGAGGTTAAGATTAACCGTGGTTTCCTTTTATTTAGCATCACGTAAGTTAGAGCCTCATGTACGTACAACATATTTTGGTGATATTTGGAAATCAGTGAATGGGGCTAACCAATCCTTTTGAGGAATTAATTTGTGTGTTTTAAGAGATATATTAGTGAGTTGCTATTAGTGAGTTGGCTCTTAAGTATCTAAGTTTCCTTTTCCACCAAGTCTTTGCTTAGTGCCAGCTGTTTTTTATACCATTTCTCATAATGTGAAGTAAAAGAATCCCTCTTTCAGTCAACATTTTACTGTAGCTTGGAGATGTCACTATAACTAGTATTGGAAGGTAAACGTGATTTGAATCTCTAGTGCAAAGTGTACACGTTTTTTGTCATTTGGGCTCATCACAACCTACGGCCAGTTATGCCGATTTTTATATTCCAAATCTGTAGAGGTGCTGTTTTTGTTTTTGTTTTTAAATTCATTGAAATTTTGCTGATTAAAACTTGCTATTAAGTGGAATTCTGAATTCCCTTTAAAAATGTTTCTTCTTGTAGCTTGACTGTTACCTAGCATAGTTTCCCGTGCTTACAGTTGACAGTTTAGAACCTATGGCAGCGAGGAGTAGCTGGCTTCCACGGTGGCTGGGAGCAGAATGCAAGCTGGGCCCCGCTTCCCTCTCTCTGCTAACAGCGTTAACAGTCACCTGGGCTGTCGGAGCACGTAGGGATGGTGCCTTTTCCCTCCACCCACTCCCCCACGAATCAGGACCCACGATCATCATTGTGTTAAGTCATGTTTAAAGAATTTGGATTATAATGTGTAACTTCGAAAATATTACAAAGACTGAAAAATAATGTGTTTTTATACCTCAAGAAATTACAAGAGAAGTGGAGTTTGAAAGCACCAGAGATTCAGAAAGTGAGCGACAGTGGGATTTCACTATGTAACCTCATAAGCGCCGTGACCACGCCTGCAAAGGCAATAGCAGCAGTTAAATCAGGTGGGTGCTTCATTGATGTTCATGGCAAGCACCTTAAGAATTGGGCCCACACGTGTGGATTTTATTTGTGTGTTACATTTTAGATTTTAATGCATAAACTAATCTCAGAAATATGAAGGGAAAGTGACAAGAAAGATGGTTAGAGGTTAAGTTTAATAGTGCCATAGAAAAGTATCTGTACTCATCACATTTCAAATCCCTCTATGTTTTATTTTATGAAAGACGGCAGCTAAAATAATCTGTAAGAATAAGGAACAACATATTAGGGGAGCGGAAAGATCACATTTCAATTTGTTGGGTGTTTGTTTGTTTTTTAACCTTAATTAATGGGGATGTTAAAATTCTCTTTGAAATAATGGATAAAGAAATGAGCCTGGTCTCCTGGGAGAGAAGAAGTGAGGGAAGGAAACAGGTTCTTTTCTGTAGAGTGGACCTTTCATTCTATTCCCATCTGCTTTTCTTCCTTCCACCATTCCCAAAGAAAACTGGTATGTGATAGTTTAACTAGTATATCCAAATCACAATCTTTTCCATTCTCCTCAATAGAAAGGGAGACTCATGGATGAATAGTGTTTCTAAAATTAATTTATGTTGTGGGGATAGTTTTTAATTTAAAACATAATTATATCGTTGTCAATATCAGGTTTTCTTTTAAAACCCAAAAATAGACAGAAGGCAGATCACATATCTTGAGTTTTTTAGAGTTTCTGTGGTTTATCTGTCCTGCCCAGCCCCCAGCTGTCCCCATTGTGAGGGACAATTCAGCTGGGCCTCTCCACCAAGCATTTATTCCGCTCTATTAATCCCATTTCAGGGAACCCTCATATTATATATGGAGTGATGATCTCCCCTTTCTCTCCCAATCAGACTTCCTGAAATGTCAAGTTTATTTTTCAGAAAAAGAATTCAATTGTGTTAGTTCTTTATGCTCACTTTATATTAGCAATAGTAAAAAAAAAAAAATTTTTTTTCCTATTCTTGATAACTACTACACCTAGTAGGAATAAATCTTGAGCACTTCCATTTGAAATGCCTTTCTGTGTGATCTTTTTAAAAAGGGACAACATTTAGGTGAGGACTCAGATATTTAAATGTTTTTGTTTGTTTGGACTCCTTCTCATGTGGTTAGTTTTGGGATATGTCTTCTGTGTTTTGGGTAGGTAGCCAATGCATACGTGAATGAGAAAGTCTAATTATTTGTTTAACGTTTTGATGATGAAAAAGGTACCAATGCTATATGCTTATATAATTAAGAGAAATAATAATTACTGCTCACCGAACCATGTCTATTTGATAGGCAATACGTTTACTGTGTTGAATTCTTACAGTGGTCTCACCAGATAGGTATTATGGTCCCCACCAGGGTGGTGAAGTGGTGATTAATTTGCCCTGTCACACAGCTCATAATTAGTGGGATTGGGATTAAAATTCAGGTGAGTTGAAAGCCAGAGCCCAAGGACTCAGAGCCACTATGCTCTCCTCTTTCTCTGTTGACATAATGTGAGTTCAGTAATAGGGTTTTTTGTTTGTTTTGTTTTTTACTTTTTTCTATCATGTCATTTTACATCACTCTGCCTCTGTTCAACCCATGCGAACACTAAATGCCTGCATCAGACAATTTTCAGTTCCTTAAGTGAGGCAGACATTTTTTTTGTCTGTCAATTGTGTGTGCTTTGTGCTGAGCTTCAGAGATTTTATCATTTGTCATTAAAGTAACTTTACCAACGAAGGAACTTTATCACAAAATTGTATTATTACAAGTGTATATTTAATGAGTAACGTATAGTAGTATACTCAAAATTTACTGAAACTAATGTTTAAGATGATCATGTTACCATTGTAAGAATACATTTTGTATAGAAGACAGGGTATGGCTTCATCTTTATACTTTGGATATTCAATTTTGAAATTGAATCATACAGGGTGTCCCAAAATATGGGTACACACTTTGAATGATTATAAAGTCATTATTTATTAACATGTAGTTAATTTTCAAAATTTAAAAGAATCTACAGAAATGAGTAATTTTTTTGGTCAATGCCTATTTTCAAATTGATGACCCTTCTGGTCCAGGCACTGCTGATAGCATGAACCAATGGAATCACAAACATCAAGAATCATTTCGTTCAGTATTTATGCATCCCAATTCATCTACTGTTGCTGGTTTTGTACCATAAACTTTATCTTTTATGCATTCCTCTAAAAAATAGTCTAGCAGCACTTCAGGATATTTTTCTTTAATCAAAGTTTAATCTGGCTTCACCTGTTATTTCGAATCAGTTAAACCTGAAATGGAATGAAAATTAAGTGACTTATCAGCTGTTAGAGTGTGTAACATTTTTTTGTGGGAGGAGGGGGGAGTTTACCTATATTTTACATTTTTAAGTAGTAATAAAATGTTTAAATGATTACTGCTTACAGGGGTTTGATTTAATGTCATTTACTATTAATGTATAGAAATACTATTGAAATTTATGACAAGTGACTTTAGTGTTAATATTTTTGCAGGTGGAGTTATATTAAATGGTGAAGGGACAGCCACTGATACTCAGGAAATTTTGGCAAATAAAGGTGAATAATAACTCTAAGTGCTTATTGATTAAAATATATGGGTCTTCTTTTTTGAGAGGAGATATTTTTAGAAGTATACAGTAGTTATATTGACTTTTCAAACTTGAGTTAAAATGGTATTAACATAATAGTCGCATTCACTATAAACATACTTAAATAACATCCTATGCAATTTTGTTCATCTGAAATTAGTGAAATCCGGCAGTTTAATTTGGCATTTGGTAATGTTTCCTTCTTTTAGGTTAATTTGTGCTATTTTGCCACTTGACATATTATTTAAGCTACTTCCTTGAGTTTGATGCCTGAATAATTAATAAGTAATATTTCATGGTTTTGGTTTTTTATTCTATTTAAAATATCTGGTTCATTCCACTTGTATTATGTAATATCCCTAAATTATTTGTCATTAAATAGCATTATAAGATTATCTAACCTTTTACTTCTAAAATTCTATCACTTGATCATAATAGGCTTAATATTAACAAAGTAGAGGGGAATATCATATAAAGCCAACATTTCTTTCTAGAGCTCTTCTCTAAACATCTTGAAAATGAATCCTAAAAATGTAATATTTTTTCTTATTCTTAGAATTAACATCTATTAAAAAAGACATGACTGACATAAGCCACAGTTATGAAGATCTTGGCCTCCTACTTAAGGACAAAATAGCCGAACTGAGTACTAAAATCACCAAATTGCAGAAGGCTCAGGAAGAATCAAGTGCAATGATGCAGTGGTTACAAAAGATGAACAAAACTGCAGCAAAATGGCATCAGGCACCTACACCTACAGATACTGAAGCCGTGAAGACCCAAGTTGAGCAGAATAAGGTATGTGCTGGAGACTTCCTGAAGACACGAAAGAGAACAGATTGGTGTTCAGAAGTGAGCCCTGGTGCTCAGGAGGCCTGTTCTGATTTCTTTCTTCATAAACTTCAGCAAATAATTGGCCAGCTTTGTTTAATGTGCCTTTACATAGAGATTGATTACACCAATCACCTATTTTGCACACAGACATTATAAAGATGAGTGAACTGTTGGGTATAAGCAACGTTGCCACCTTTAAATCAGTTTAAGTCTGGGATTTTAACCCGTCCGCTATTGGGAAAGATTTATGTAAGGGCTAAGTGTATTAGGGATCTGTTCTGTCTAGTATGAAATAGGGGAGCTCATGCTTCCCCATTCTTTCATAGACAGTATTTCTTTCTACAACTGTCCATACTGGGAAAATGGTTTTACAGTGAGACAGTGATGGCAAAAATGTCTACAAACTCTAACCTATATTTGAACTCTATATTGTATTGTCCAGAAAAATGCTTATTCACTAGCACATTCTCAAATCTGGCAGTCTCTGTCACCAGATGTTTGATTCATCTGATAAAGATTTTATTTTATTTATTTTTTATTGAATTTATTGGGGTGACATTGGTTCACAAAACCATACAGGTTTCAACAAAACATCATCTGCACATTGCATCATGTACCCATCACCCCAAGCAAAGTCTCTCCCCGACCACATTTCCTGCCCTTTGCCCACTTCCACCTGTGATTATCTTATTAATTTCAATCTTTCTAATGTCACCTTCTTTTTTCCCAAAAGGAGTTGTTTCAGAAAAATATGAAAATCTTACTAGGTAATGGGGATGAGTCGTTATCTCTGTAGCGATAGCATTTCTCTTTGGGATTCTTTTGTCAGATCATTGAAGACTAGTGGGAGCAGGAAAGGAAAGACACTGTTGAATCCAGGTCCTCACCCGCTTCAGCATTTCACAGTGGAATTTCTCCTCTTTTGGTCATGGTAGAGAAAACGTTCCCTATTGTAATTGTGTTCTTGCCTTTTGATGTAGTAGACATACTTTAATTTTTCCCCCTCCTTCTTAGTCATTTGAGGCAGAACTGAAACAGAATGTAAACAAGGTGCAGGAGTTGAAAGACAAATTGACAGAGCTGCTGGAGGAGAACCCAGACACTCCTGAGGCCTCCAAATGGAAACAGACGTTGACAGAAATAGGTATGTTATGCTACACCGACTCCATGAACAGAAGCTCAGTCTTTCCCTCCCACCCTCCAATCCTAATCTTTATCAAAAAATATTTATCCAACAGCCTCACTTATTTGACAGTTTCACAGCCTATTTTTGTGTATATAAAAGTGTCATTTCAAATTAAATTGTGCTAACTTGGCATTTTTTTATCTGGTGGATCTCTCTTGGATTTTTGCTAAACATGGTGATTTAATTTATTTTTATGAAGAAGGTAGACACTAGTTAATAACATGCTGTGTGTTGAATAACATGTTTTCATTATTGCTTATTTGTTACTAGATTTTTGGTGCTTCTAATTGTTTATGCTGTATTATATTTTAATTTAAATGTTCCTTTTAGTTTATTTGTCTGAAAAAAGGTAGGCTCCCTTTTCTTCCCTGGGGCTCCCACAGCAGCTCCTACGTTATGCACTTCTTCTCTTCCCCAACCAGCATGAAAAAGGAGCTCCCACAGAAGTCTCATGGTTTGGCCTCCAGAGTTATCCTCCCCTATCGGTCCTGCCCCTATATAAACTCTTTCTCCTAGGTGAAGAATCTTCACAAGCCTAATTATCTTATCACCCCTGTTCATTATAACAATATGGAAAACGAGTGTAAGACAATGATACCAGTTTTCCCACTGCATAGAATCGCTTTTCAGAATTCAGTGAGTTGGTGTGTGTACAGCACAGATGAAGAGTACCTGACACATAGTGCTGTGTGTTTGCTTTGATGATAAGCATCATTTTACTTTCCATCATCCCATTATTTTTAGCTAAAGATTAGACTCAGATATGCCGTGATATAGTTAGAAATCGGTAAGTGTGTTTTCATTATCCTAAGGGACCTTAATGTTCAACGGTGTATTGAATCCACCCATAGAGTCCTGTGGCCCTATAATGAACTGTCCCTAATTCAGTGGCTCTCACCTCGGATATCAGAGCTACTTGGGGGAATATTATTAAGATTTTACAACAGGAGTAGGAGTGAAGAATGTGTATTTCAAAAAAAGTTTCCTGATAAGATTTAGATATTTCTTCCTCTCAATTTATTGTTTTAATTGCATTTCTATTTTGTCAGACTGTGTGGCTACAACGTGCCCTATAGAATGAAGCCATTAGACAGGATTCTGGGGAGGGGTCTATTAAAATCAGCCTGTCGTATATGGTATGCTAGGTGAGAAAATCCATCAAATCAACCAATTCCGCCCCTCAGTGAATGTTTATTGAGAGACTGTTGTGTTCCCGTGCTGGTCAACAACTTGGCTTCAGGAGCAGGGCATCAGGAGGCGCTGGGCGAGGAGCGGGGGTGGGGGGGTGTTGGGACAGGAATAGGAACAGCTTCTGAGCAGAGGGTAAAAGCCAGAGGAGTAGGAAGGAAGGCTAGACCTGGAATACATGGAGAGGAGGTAGAGCATGCCAGTATGGGCCTGTGTGAGCAGAAGCCTGTTTGGTGATATTGGTTAAGATCAGCAGGGCTGGATCTGAGGATTCATCTTGAAGTGCAAACCCTCTAAGATTAGTAGACAAGGGTCATTTTGTGGGAGAATGCCCTGAATGTCAAGCAGAGGTCTTCAGATTTTATCACCAGTGGTGAGGAGTTAATTATTCAAGCATTTTAGCCTAGGAAGTGACATATGTAAAAGTGATTTTTTTTTTTGAGAGAGAGAGAGAGAGAAATTATTGTAGAACCAAATGCATTGCAGCTGAGAAACACTGATGGCAGGGAAAATAGTTAGAAGACTGGTAGTCTAGATCAGTGGTCAGCAGACTCATTAGTCAACAGAGCCAAATATCAAACAGTACAACGATTGAAATTTCTTTTGAGAGCTGAAAACCGACTTCTGTGCATGGGCTATGAAGTTTCAATGGCACTGTACGTGCGCGTCCGCACGTGGTAAGAGTCTCATGTGGTTCTCGAGCCTCAGTTTAGGTCATTTCAGAGGTTCTTATAGTATGTTCCTGGGAGCAGCAGCACCTGGGAACAGGTTAGAAATGCAAAATTTTAGCCCCCACATCAAACCTCCTGAATCAGAAATTCTAGGGGTGGACCCAGCAACCTGTGGTAATCATTCTTCCAGGTGACTTTAATGCAGCTAAAATTTGAGAAACACTGGTCTCTAGGCAAACCATGGTGAGGACCAAAATGGAGTGAAGGCATTGGAAATGTAAAGGATGGGTTTGAGGTTTTAGGACAAACGATATAGGAGAGTCATATAATAACATTCTGAATTATTGCATCTCAGGGACATGGCAGAGAGAGAATAACCTTTGAAATAAATATAAAAGTCAGAAAATTTTGATAGGAGCATAGTGAGTTTTAAAAAAAAATTTTATTAAATGTATTGGGGTGACATTGGTTAATGAGATTACATAGGTTTCAAATGTACAATTCTATGATACATCATCTGTATCTTATATTGTTTGTTTACCACCACAAGGTTTTGGTGTTTTCTTAAATGTTGAGTTTAACGAATTAGTGAGATTTTTTTAGTGTACTTTTCAAGCAGCTGGTTACATACATGCAACTTGAATAGAAGAGGATGATTGAGTACAGATATAAAAATTTTAGGGTCACAGCCCTGGCTGGGTAGCTGAGTTAGTGTCATCCCGATACACCAAGGTTGCAGGTTTGATTGCCACTGAGGGCATTTATAAGAATCAACCAATGAATGCACAAATAAGTTGAACAACAAATTGGTGTTTCTCTCTCTCTTTCTCTCTCTCTCTCTCATCAATAAATAAAATTTAAAATTTTTAAAAAATGGGAATCACTTGCCTAGAACTGATCATTGGAGATTTAATTATTAAATGAAAGAATTAATATCCACTGTTCTAGCAGGTCTGTTATAGTTGGATTAACAGACTCTAGAGAACTTCTAGAAGGAATGAGGGAGCTCAGGATCCTGTTTGCTGTAAGGAATATTCCATATTCTGTGTTATCTTCTAACATCAGATTCACATTTACTTTCCTCTTACTTCAGTTCACAGATAACCATCAGGGCCATAAAATCTGTATCAATAAATGCAATTTTCTTAGCTTAGACTTTAATCAGCTCTGTAAGAAAAGTTACAAATACAGAGCGATAGCTATTACATTTTGAGTCACATCCTGGAGTCTTCCTTGATATAATCATGTTAAATGTATAAAAACCAAACACCAGTTTTCTGTTTTCTTTCAGACTCTAAGTGGCAAGAACTCAATCAATTGACAGTTGATAGACAACAAAAACTGGAAGAATCCTCTAACAATCTAACGCAGTTCCAGACCGGAGAGGCTCAGTTAAAACAGTGGCTTGTGGAAAAAGAACTGATGATCAGTGTTCTTGGGCCCTTGTCCATTGACCCAAATATGCTGAACACACAAAAGCAGCAGGTGCAGGTGAGTATTACTTGACTTAACAAGACAAATGTTTTCATTACAAATAGATTAGCTTTGGAGAGTATGTGCTTTCAGCGCTGTGGAGTGTGTTTGTAATGTCTCTGATGCCCCTAAGATACCGTCCTGAGGTTAATGATAAACCCCAGAGGACGAAAGCTGTGAGGCATCCCAGAGTAGCCTACTGAGCCCAGGGGTGGGTTAAGACCCTTGATCATTTTATGTGGATTATGGTTTGCCCAGACCCTGTTACCAAGCGCCATCTTTGAAGTGTTAATGTGATTGTATAAGTAATAATATTTTTTTATGAGAAGCTAGTAAATGCTCTTTATTGTTTAGAAATGCCTCCTTTGAGGTTTTGTTTATTTTGAGCATGTAATGAAACTTGTAAACTTCATGCAATACAGTCTTGATGGGGATGGGGGTGTGGAGGGGGAGAAACTGAATAAGAGGAGAAAGAATAAGGGAAGCAGAGAGGGAACCCAGGGGGTTAGTTAGACTAGACTAATTATAAGTGAATAAATCCACAAGGGATAAAACATCCATAACATTTAAGTCTGGCTGGAATCACAGAAGCTCTGTTGAGGTTGAGATTTCTGTATGGGTGAAGAGTGGTGTTAGAGCAGAGAGACTGGCCCTGAACTTGAAAGATACAAATCCATGTACATCTGCCGTGTGAAGAGGATGGAAACAAAAGCTGTGCATAAACATTTAGGGGAAAATAATCGCCCCCAATCCTGGGAGTCTCTCAGAGATAGATAAAATATTATACTAAAGAAAGATAAAATGTTTGGGTCTTCTCATTTTATGAGAGACCATTCTGAGCAACATGATTTAAAACCATGATTATAAAGACTGTCAATAAATCTTACGTTCAAAGAAACCTTTGTAAATCAATGCACCATGAGCTAATCTAGCCTAACTCCCGTTGGTGTAAAATGCTGTAATTTTTTAAAATCCTACAAAGAGAAAAAACAACAAATCTGGGTTAGTGCGGTGGGAACTTGTCCAATAGCAGTACATGAATTTTTGTTCCTTTTGCCCAGACTGCTGAAAATATTTATCTGCCTTGTTTTCCCCTTTGGGGGATCTTATTTTGGTATCTCTGTGAAGTACCAGAGCTTTTAGGATTACTTTACTTTAAGGTAATGGCACTGCCCTCAAAATCAAAAGTAGGAAAGCAGTAGCTAAACCTCAAAAAGAAAAAACTAGAGAAGTAAGTAGCATTTCTGTCTCTTTAGAAACTTAGAGCTGTGTTTTCTGCATTTAATTATTCAGTGACTTGAGTGTTTATTTACCCTCATTTCCTCTTTACCTTAGATTCTGCTGCAAGAGTTTGATACCAGGAAACCTCAGTACGAGCAGCTCACGGCAGCCGGCCAGGGCATCCTGAGCCGACCTGGTGAACACCCTGCTTTCCATGGGATCGTGAGAGAGCAGTTGGCGGCTGTGACCCAGAAATGGGACAGCCTCACAGGACAGTTGAGTGACAGATGTGACTGGATCGACCAAGCCATTGTCAAAAGCACCCAGTATCAAAGCCTGCTGAGAAGCCTTTCTGATAAACTGGGGGATTTGGACGACAAACTCAGCAGCAGTGTGGCCGTGAGCACGCACCCTGACGCTATGAGCCAGCAGTTGGAAACAGCCCAGAAAATGAAGCGGGAAATAGAGCAGGAGGCGAAGCAGATACAAGCAGCCCAGGCCCTCTGTGAGGAGCTGTCAGCGCTGGTTAAAGAGGAGTACCTGAAGGCAGAACTCAGTAGGCAGCTAGAAGGCATCGTGAAGTCATTCAAGGATATTGAGCAGAGAGCAGGTTTGTCTCTCTTCTTCTCACACACCCATTTCCTGGAAATAGAGATCTTAGGTGGCCTATTCCTTAGCTATTGCCAGGAACCTGGGATCCTAGAGAGAATCTGTCCCCATCGGGAGCATGTGTGAAGAGAGGGCCGCGCACACGAGTGTGTGTGGAGAGCAGGTGTGTGCATGGACACACACAGTGAGGGTCGTTTCACACGGACAGTGGGGGGACAGTGTTGGCAAAATCCACCTAACAAAGGAAACCCGGTTCACATTTCAGGTATTCCACTTTGATTTTGTAAAGACATGAACATTGTTGCCATGTGACACACCTGTGTCACCAGATACACAGATGAATCCCGTTACCGAAAAGGGGTTTCCTCATTTTCTCATCGGCAGCGATTTTTGTCTGACTCTGTCAGACATTCACCTTTCCAGAGGAATGTGTGAAAGAGAAGCGTGGGGCTCTGCTTCCCTCTCGCCTCCTGTGGCCCTGATTCCGTGGCGTGGGGACCAGGGATTGTCCCAGGCAGCAGCAGGGAGGGCCTGGGGTCAGAGGGGCCTGCCTGGGAAGAGCACACTCACCTGCTCTCTCTGACCTGCCTGAAAAGTAACACAAGGCATCTTGCAGCCGAGTAAAGACTCCATTCATACTTTTTTTTTTCCTTTTTAAAAATATATTTTATTGATTTCTTACAGAAAGAAAGAGAGAGGGATAGAAAGCTAGAAACATCTATGAGAAAGAAACATGGACCAGCTGCCTCTTGCACACCCCTTACTGGGAATGTGCCCACAACCAAGGTACATGCCCTTGACCAGAATCGAACCTGGGACTTTTAAGTTCGCAGGCCAACGCTCTATCCACTGAGCCAAACTGGTTTCGGCTCCATTCATACTTTTTATTTAATTGGGTTTGTTTACTGATCACATCTGTTAGGCTTACTCATTTACTTTGATATCATATTGATACTATTAGCTATTGAGATGATTATTATTATTACTGTGATGGACACTTTTATTTTTTTTAATGTATTTTATTGATTTTTTTACAGAGAGGAAGGGAGAGGGATAGAGAGTTAGAAACATTGATGAGAGAGAGAAATCGATCAGCTGCCTCCTGCACATCTACCCCTGGGGATGTGCCTGCAACCAGGGTACACGCCCTGGACCGGAATCGAATCTGGGACCCTTGAGTCTGCAGGCTCTACCCACTGAGCCAAACCGGTTAGGGCACAATGGACATTTTTATAAATACAGGCATTAAGCTAAGAACTTATGTACTGTCCCTCAAGGGCCACAACAGCTTTTACGAATGTTGCCCGTTTACATCTGCGGGAAATGAGGCTTAGAGGTTTAATCCTTAGCCCAGGGTTCCACAGGTCCGGAGAGGTTGAGGTGAGACCCAAACCCACGCTGTTCCTATGGGCTTCATTATATTGTCTCTATGATAACGCACAAGTCAGAGAAGTGAAGCAGTCATATTTGATAAGAGATGGATTCCTTATCAGCATTCTTGGAACTGTGAGCAGCTGTCACTTCCACTTCCTGGAATGGAGACGACCTCGCAGAGCAGACAGCGCGTGACTGTCCTCTGCCTGTCCTCCACCACCCTGCACCTTTCCGCAGTGTTCCTGATTCCCATCATCTCCCCCCCCCCCCCCCCGCCCTGACTGTCTTTTTGTTGTTGTTGCTGCCCCTACCTCTGGCTCCCTTTACCCCCTTTGCCGATAACTTGTGCTCACTTATAGTTCTTATAGTCAGTGCGGAGAAAACGCTAGCTGTTAGACAGTCCTGTACACGTTTTTGGTGATTTTCCTTTTTGGCTTCTCATAGAGTAAGTCAGCATTTTGATGTAAAATAACATGCCTGTCATTTCATTTTTAGAGAATCATGTCCAGCACCTGCAGTTGGCCTGTGCCAGCTCTCATCAGTTTCAGCAGATGTCTAGAGAGTTTCAGGCGTGGCTGGATACAAAGAAGGCGGAACTAAACAAGTCTCAGCCAATATCAGCTAAACTCAACGTCTTGGAGTCCTTAATGAAAGATCAGGAAGACTTTAATAAAACGTTGACTACTCAGTCTAGTATTTATGAAAAAGCCATTGCGGAAGGCGAGAAGCTGTTATTAGAAACACAAGGGTCTGAGAAGGCAGCCTTACAGTCACAATTGAACACAATTAAAACCCATTGGGATGGATTTAATAAGCAGGTGAAAGAAAGAGAAGACAAGGTAAAAGATTGCTTGGGGAAAGCCCTCAAGCATAAAGAACACGTGGAGACTCTCCGGCCCTGGATAGACAAATGTCAAAGCAACCTGGAGGAGATCAAGTTTTACCTGGATCCTGCTGAAACAGAGAAGTCTATTGCCAAGCTAAAGTCTCTGCAGAAGGAGATGGACCAACACTTCGGGATGGTGGAATTGCTGAACAACGCAGCTAACAGCTTGCTCAGTGTCTGCGAGACAGACAAAGAGGTGGTAACAGATGAGAACAAATCACTGAACCAGAAGGTAGTCATGGTCACTGAACAACTTCACACTAAGAAATTCTCTCTGGAGAACATGGCCCAGAAGTTTAAAGAATTTCAAGAAGTGTCCAAAGAAGCGAAGAGGCAGCTCCAGTGTGCAAAGGAGCAGCTGGAGGTCCATGATTCTCTGGGACCCCAGGCTTACAGTAGCAAATACCTGACCATGCTGCAGACTCAGCAGAAATCACTCCAGGCCTTGAAGCAACAGGTAGATTTGGCCAAAGGCCTTGCACGGGACCTTGTGGCAGAGGCCTCCGACTCAAAGGGCGCCTCTGATGTTTTATTACAGGCAGAAACCGTAGCTCAAGAGCATAATGTCCTAAGTCAGCAGGTTGATGAGAAGTGTTCCTTCTTAGAAACCAAGCTTCAGGGCATTGGACATTTCCAGAATACCATCCGGGAAATGTTTTCCCAGTTTGCAGAGTTTGATGATGAACTGGACAGCATGGCCCCCGTGGGGAGAGATGTAGACACATTACAAAAGCAGAAGGAGGCTATTACGGCCTTCCTAGAGAAACTAGAAGCCCTCATAGCTAGCAACGACAATGCCAACAAGACCTGCAAGCTAATGCTGGCCACGGAGGAAACCTCTCCTGACCTTGTGGGCATCAAAAGGGACTTGGAGGCTCTGAGCAAACAGTGCAAGAAGTTGCTGGACCGAGCACAAGCCAGAGAAGAGCAGGTGGAAGGGACAATTGAGCGTCTGGGCGATTTCTACAGCAAATTGAAGGAATTCTCTACTCTGCTTCAGAAGGCTGAAGAACATGAGGAGTCTCAAGGCCCCGTCGCTATGGAAACAGAGACCATCAACCAGCAGCTTAATGTGTTCAAGGTAGGGAATTCTTCATTTTTACTGAGCACTTTTATTATTATAAGACATTTCTCATTGCTATTGAAAGGAGATGGTCTCTCTTGTAGAACCTTCTCATATGACTGCCACGCGGTGTTAGAGCATAAATGGGGTTATATCCAAGCCCATGGGGGAGGGGAGTTTCAAGCTTCCTGGGGGTTTGAGCCCTCATAGGATAAGGCCTGAGATGATACAAAGAGTTCAAAAGAGTGCTTGGAGTGTCCCAGCACGTTTCCACGAAGCCTGAACCTGACATCATGGAGTCTGTTAATGATCTCATTCACGGCTGACATCTGGAGCGGCCAGAACTGTGTTTTGAACTCTGCTGCCGTTGCCATTCCTGTACATGAAAGCTTGTTCTCTTCGTGTTTGTCTCCCAGCATTTTCTTTAATGGTGAATTATAGGCTTTTCCTGCCCTTTCCTTTTTTTATGGTCTTCTTATCCTTCTTAATTGAATTTCATTTTGTAAACTTTTTTTTACTTCCAAGAGTTCATGTTTTTAAAGAGTGGGGTTCCTTGTTGTAATCCTGGTTTTATAGAACAAAGACCTTGGGTGCATTGCCCCAGCGGGTTAGGAGGAAATCATTCTTTGGTTGCACAGTAGGCTCCTCGGGGCTGAGGAATGTCTGCCCCTTGGTAGCGCTCAGTGATGCTTGAGGAAGGGAACATGAGGTAAACATGGTCGGCCGGGTGCGGTGTCACAAGAGTGGCCCTCATTTATGATAGGAAGCACAGAAGTGGCATCTCACCAGGGGGCAAAGCTACGTTCCTCCCTGCACGGAGGAGGTCTGAAATAGCAAGCACTTGCTGCATGGGACTTCTGAATTTGTGGTGTGAGCACATGCCCTGTCCTATTGATGAGGCGTGTCTTACTTTCCAGTAGAGACTAGGGTGGGGATAAGCCCCACCATTAGCACATAAAGGGTAAAATAAGACCAAATAAAAACAATTTGCAAAGCCTAAATTGTTTCCCATGAGAAGTGAATGTAAATGAAGTGGACTTCCAAATTCTGTGCTGTTATATTTGACATAGTGTTTTCCTTGCTCATCCTTAATAACAGTATCAAGGTGACTGAGTTTTGAAAACTTCAGAATAACTTCATTTTCTCCTTTTTCTCTTCTTTCTCCTCCTACTTTCTTCTCCTCCTCCTCCTCCTCTTCCTCCTCCTCCTCCTCCTTCTCCTCCTCCTCCTTCTCCTCCTCACTCCTCCCCTCCCCCCATTATGGTTATTTGCTGTTTATAAAGTGCCTTAGAAGCCCCGTACCTTCAGGGCTTGAACATCTTGATTCTGAATTTAGATCTTGATTCTTAAAGTGAAGAAAATTATCTACTGTTGACATTACTTTCTTCATTACTCCATCAAACTTCCATATTTCTGATTTGCAACACGGAGACTTCCTATGAGAGGATTCTGTGTGAGAAAAGCCAAGCTTTGTGGCGGTTGCTGCCTCTCAGCCTGGGGGAAGAGCTTGAGGAGGGTTGAGTCTCCTCAGAGAGAACATCGGGCTTTTCTGAAGAACTCAGGCAAAACTTGAAAGCATAAGTGACAGTAACCAAGCTGTCTTTTTACTCAGGAAATTTAAGCATGCTTAGTGCCTTAGTGAAACATTTTCATTTCTCTAGATTTTATGTAACTTTGTCTTGAAAAACAAACAAATGAGTTTCTTTATTTCTCTCCACTACTTCAACTATCTGTAAGAAAATGGGCAAAAATGGAACTGCTGCCTGGGAAATGTGGCTCTCCATGGAGAGAGTTCTTTTGAAAGTAAGAAAAAGCAAGAAACAGGAGTCCTCTCACCACTGCACTGAAAGTGTTTTGCAAATGGAAAAGTACTAAATTTAGCATCATTACCGTCAGTGGTTACAGAGATTGTTGTATTCGATTGTGAAGAAAAATAAACCACTTAGGGTGCTACGTCAGTCTGTTCCCTGGTATCTTCAGAGGGAGTTGATTGGTTTTAATGACATTCAGTAATAAAAAATATAATGATATACCACCAATGTCTTGAGACCCAGTGATTCAACTAAAAGTTTCCAAGTGGACAGATCATCTGCATTTAATATAGTCCAGTGCCCTGGTCAGTGTGCCTCAGTGGTAAAGCATTGGCCTGTGCACCAAAAGATCATGGGTTTGATTCCCAGTGAAGGGCATGTACCTGGGTTGCAGGTTTGATTCCTGGCCCCCACTGGGGGCAGGTGCAGGAGGCAACCAATTGATGTGTTCCTCTCTCATCAGCGTTTTAGCTCTCTCTCTCTCTTCTCCTTCCTCCCTTCCACTTTCTCTTAAAAAAAAATCCTTGGGTGAAGATTAACAAAATTAATGTAAAAAAGAGTATTATTATGGTAAATAATTTGGTAATTTATACATTCACTAGTTCTGTTTATTTGTGTGTGTGTGTGTGTGTGTGTGTGTGTGTGTGTGTGTGTGTGTATACACTCGGGCCTGCGTGCTCTAGAAAAGGAGCATTGACCACAGTTAACACTGATGTGTCAAGCCTTTTTCTAAACTCTCTTTAATCCTGTTAACAATCAGGAGAGGTGGGTGCTGTTATTATCCTCATTTTATTCTAAGGAAGCTGAGATCCAGAGAGGTGACTTGCCCAAGGTCACACATGTAGTGAGCGTGAGAGCCTGAATGTTTATCACATTGCACATCTGTTATTTTTTCTGGGAGATGTTCAGTTCTGCTTTGCTGAAACCTAATTTGGTGGCCTGAGTAACCAGCCATTGTTCATTTGAATCCAAAGCATCAGATACATCCACTGGAGGAACGTGTTTTATAACAGGCTGCTATGAGAACATAAATATGTATGAAATTGTCTTAAAAACTGATATGTAGATACTGTGATGGTGATGGTGGTGATTGCCACCACCAGGAAAAATCAAACCTTTCATTATCTTGGTGATTATATCTTAAGTGATAAATTAGTTTACAATTTAGATCTTAATTTAGTTACTGTTGGGCATAGACATTAAGTGGAATGATTTGTATTGAGTGAAAAACCAGTAGTTTGCTTAAAAATAGCAAACTACTAGTTATTCTAATTTCTACAAACAGAACAGAAAAGCACTGAAGTTACTGGGTTTTTAAAGTCTATTTTTCTTTCAGACTTCAAAATATTTTTCCCCCATTACTCTTTTTGGTAGATTTAGCCTCGCCTAATGTCACAGATAAAATCTTACAATAATTTTTAATAATAAAAAATAAATCACCTTTAGAGTTGGACTAAAACTTAAATAATAGCTATTATCCAGTTACCCAGTCTGGAGTGCCTTTGATTTTCTAGTAACTTAATGGATTATTCAAAGTAGGTAGGACAGACTTTCTCTGCTACCATTATCTCCCTCCCCCAAACTCAACCTAAGAAATAATAGTTAATATCCTTGAAAGGACAAAATTAACTCATGTTTAAGATACCAACCCAGACATAATGATTAAAAATAAATGCTCTTCTGAACCACATGTCCTAACTCACTGTCAGCAAAAACTATTCCAAGTGTCAAAAATAGATTGGTGTTACCTTTTGAGTTAGCTTCAAGTTTTTAAACTATTGTGATTGTGTAAGTTCCATTTGCCATAGGTTTTTCTACTTCTAAGAATTAGTCATTGGACTAAAATGTGTGACATGCGAAGTGTTTTCTGCTACTGTTGGTAACTCACAGTACCATCTAGGAATATTTACACTTTGCTCTTATTACATCAGATTGTTTGCACACTTTTGTAAATTCTGAGGCAGAAAGTCTAAAAGTCCTTTGGGGTTCTCCCTATCCCTACCTCCTGTTGAAGACTCCTAGGTCAAGATTATCTTCAAATCAAAGCTACATTATTAAGTAATATTAATGTTTCCACATTTTTTTTTTTTTTATTTATCAAAGACATATGTAGCCAACTATATACAAGGAACATGTCCCGGCAGTTCTTATGATGTCATCAACAGCCAATCAGATTTTCTCATTATCATGAAGTAATCATTATCACCATATTGATTTGATTTAATTTCAATGAAGATCAAAGAAACTTGATGTTTTACCACACATGTACTGTCACATTGTAGCTAAATATACACCCCTCCCCACTTCTATCTAGGCCATGTTAAAAAGTCTCCACTCAGAACCTGCTTACTGTTTATTTCTGCCCCAACAGCAATTCATTTTGTCCCCACATAAAAACACATCGCTGGTGCAAGTCTGACTGAGCCGGAGATTCCTCCCCCCCCAAAAAAAAATGAAAATAGCATTACACAGAGCAGAGAATTTTTGAAGCCAAGTTGAAACCACAAACACCAAGACACATACCTAATTACACTGTAATAAATTTTCTCTGGTCCAGGTGAAGACACTGTTTAACCCCGGCAGCATTATTTGAATCCTGGCTGAACTAAAATGCCGGGTGTCATGAAGTGGAGAAGCCAGGTAATTTCAGCACTGTTTGTAAATACTTTTGCTGAAATGCAAATAGTTTTTAAAGACACTTATTAAATGATTTTAAAACAACCTCTATGATATCACCATATATATATATATATATGTTATTGATTTTTTTTACAGAGAGAAAGGGAGAGGGACAGAGAGCTAGAAACATAAAGGAGAGAGAAATAGCTATCAGCTGCCTCCTGCACACCCCCTACTGGGGATGTGCCCACAACCAAGGCACATAGCCCTGACCAGAATTGTACCTGGGACCCTTCAGTCCACAGGCTGACGCTCTATCCACTGAGCCAAACCGGTTAGGACGATATCACCATATTTTTAAAGATAACACTGTCCAAAAAATGCTTTAATAGCGGTTTTTAAGTGTGCCCATATTGTTATATACAGGCAGGCCCATGATGTATTGCTCTCCATTTTTGTTGAGAGCAGGGGGAAATTAAATAGAGCTGTTGCAGAAGAGGTTTCTGTTGGGGGGGGGGGGGGATTCTTACTTGGCTGGATTTTTTTGTTGTTGTTTTTTTTGTTTTTGTTTTTGTTAATGAGAGTATA